TCGTGAAAACCGGGGGGAGACACAAGGGCTGAGCCAGCCCCCGCCAGCCACATCCTGCCCAGTGGGGGGGGTCCCGGGGATCCCTGTCCCCCTGGGGACACTCACCTGGTCCCCCTTCTCGCCCGCGCTGCCCGGGAGCCCTCGCTCACCCCTTGGTCCCTGTGGGCAGAAGGATTGAGGTGGGTGGGGAGCACCTCACTCCTCCCTCAGCCACCCCAGCTGCCTCTCCACAGCCCCCCGGGAACTAAAGGGGGGTGGGTGGGCACCTACCACTGGCCCTATGGGACCGGGGGGACCGTCCAAGCCAGGGGGTCCCTGGGAAGGTGAGGAACAGGGTTAGATGGATGTGGCTGGAAGGACCTCAGCCCCAGTGCCTGTGGCAAGGGGGGAAACTGGGAGAGCCCCCAGCCCCTCTCCCCCTGCAGCCCAGCCCTGAGGGACTCACCAGTTCCCCCTTCTCCCCGGGGGGGCCCACGTAGCCTCGATCACCTTTCATGCCCTGGGGAAGGAAGGAGATGAAGGTCCCATGCAGGACAGGGGACCAGCCAGGATATGGGACATGGATGGGAGATGAAGGGACAGATGGACCATGGAGCCCCAGCAATATGAGGGGGCCCCAGAAAGCACCAGGGAGGGACGTGGGGACACCTGAGGTGACGGGGGGCTGGCATGTGCTGCCTGGCTCCCCACAGTACTCACAGGAAGGCCGGGGGGGCCGGTTGCACCGGGGTATCCGGGCTGCCCTGGAGGACCCTGTGCAGGAGGATGGTGCTGAGCCACCTGCAATGCCCCACCCAGGTGCCCAAAGCCCATGGGCCACCAGTGCCCTCCTCGTCCCCTCCTCCCACACCACTCACCGGCTCCCCTTTGGCTCCAGCAAGCCCAGTGGGGCCACGTTCCCCCTGCAGACCCTTCGAGAGGAGGAGAGAGGAGATGCAGGGATTGTCCTTCCTCCCCTGCCCGGGGCTGTGCCCACCTGGCACCACAGCCGGGCAGAGTGGGGGGGACCAAGGACCCCGCACAGCCCCTGGGGTCTGTGATCACCAGCCTGGGCTGGTCCCAGCCTGCCTGGCACCTCCAGGCACCAGGGAGGACCCCCCAGCCCAGTTACGGTCACACCAACGCAGGTCACTGCTGCCTGTGTCCCCAACACTGCGGCCTGGGGGCTGTGAAAAGCTGAATCCTGGGGGCTTTACATGGGGTGTCCAGCTCCTGGCACCCCGGCCACTGCCCAGGACACACGTCAGACCAGCCAGGTGACTCGTGTGACAGCCAGGAGCCCCAGGGCTGCATGTCACAGGACCCCTGGGGCAGGTTAGTGAGGTGATGTGGTGCTGAGGCTGGACAGGACACGCTGACACACTGCAGAGCAACGTCCCACACAGACCCACAGAGACCCACACAGACCCACACAGACCGTGGTGTTACGGTGACATTAGTGGATGAGGGGACAGGAGCAGGACACAGATGACACAGGAGGGCAGGGTCCTCCGAGAGCCACCGGCGCAGCCCCACTGCCTTGTGCTGGGAGGGAGCAGGAGGATGAAGATGAGGATGAAGATGAGGATGAAGATGAGGATGAAGATGAGGATGAAGATGAGGATGAAGATGACGCTGGAGACTAGCTGACCCCAGAGGAGCTGGGGACCAGGGAGGCAGGAGGATGAGCCCAGGCTGCACAGGGGGGTCCCTCCTGACCCCCATGAGGGGAGTTCCCAGGGGCAGCTGGGGAAGGGGCAGCAGCAGGTGCATCTGGAGCACCCAACACACCCCACAGGACCTGTGACGAGCCATGGGCACCAGGTCCCTGGCACACAGGGGCTGAGCTGAGCCAGCCCAGGGGCTGCAGCCACCTTGAGTCCCACGGGGAAGGACCCCAACAACTGGGCCCTGGCACCAGCTGCACTGGGGCTGCCGAGCAGCAGCTCCAGGTCCCTGAGCTCGGGAAGAGCCTTCCCGAGCCTCCAGACCCTGGGTCCACCGAGACCACCTGCATGGGGATGGACGAGGTGAATAATGGGATGATGGAGATGGGGTGGGATGGGGGGCAGCTGGGCTGTGGCTGCTCCCAGGGGGGACAGGGACAGGGGACACAGCCAAACCAAGCGGCAGCAACAGAGGGCACAGAGAGGAGCCGTGCTGGGTCCTTACGGGCAGTCCGGGTGCGCCAGGCGTTCCAGGAAAGCCTGGGGGGCCCTGAGGGGAGAAACAGGGAGATCACAGCCTGGAAACGGCACCCGGGAGCCCGGGCTGAGCCCGTGGGGCAGCGCAGGGTGGTCGGGCACAGGCTGGCTCAGCCTCTGCATCCCACCAAGCCGGACTCCTGCTCCACCTCCAGGCTGGCAGCACCTTTCCCTCCATCTCCAGATCCAGGCTCTCCAGGATTCAGCCGTGCCAGGCAGCACCTCCACCTCACCACAGCCTCGGCCCTCTGCCCATCACCGTGGCCTCGGGGCAGGGCACCGGACCCCCTTGGCTACTTGCAGTGGGGGGCTCCAAGCCCCCCCGAACCATGACCTGATGCCCGCTCAGCCCCCTACCCCGGGCAGGGCTACTTACAATGGGCCCGGGTGGTCCCGGGGGTCCCCGCAGTCCTGGAGAGCCCTGGGGAGAGATGGCTGTGTCAGGTGCCACCACGGCAGGGGGACAGGAACCTGGTTCTGCTTTAGCTTCAAGGGGCTCCGAGGGAGCAGCCACAGCCCCCACAGATGCCAGGAGGGGCTGGGCTGGGGGCAGGGGAGCAGGGAGCACCCACCTGCTCGCCCCTCTCACCAGGGATGCCCGGGGCGCCCGGCAGCCCGGGGTGTCCCGCGCAGTCTGGGTCAGGATTGTCACCCTGCAGGGAGTGGGGACACATCAGGAGCCAGGGCTGGCTCTGCCCACAGCCCAGCCCCACCAAGCCCCCCCAAAGCAACCCCTGCTCCCCAAAGCTCCAGTTGGTCCTGCCCCAGCAGGGACCATTCCTGCAGCGCCCTGGGAAGCGGGGAGGCAGCTCAGCCCCGGGGCTGGGGAAGGGGTTGGGCAGCACAGCTCACTCACCCGAGCCTCCTCTGCTCTTGGGAACTGGGCAAAGCACTGGAAGAAAACCCAGGAGTCACCCGGGGATGCCCTGCAGGGATGCAGCAGAGGAGCTGCGTGGCATGAAGCCCAGCATCCCAGCATCCTGCAGCCCTCGGGTGCTCAGCACCCCTGCTCCAGCCTGCACTGCTCCCTGCTCAAGATAAACCTGTCACCCCTCCCTGGGCACCCCAGGGCAGGTGGGAGCTGTGGGTGGGAGCCCACGGTGTGCCCAGAGCACTCCCAGCCCTAAAAGCCCAGGATGTTGGGAGCATCCCTGCCCCTCATCCCAAGACCCTCCAGGACCAGGGGCTTTTGGGCACCAGGATTCCCACCCAGAGGTGGGGAAATACTCACCTGAGCACAGGCCTCAGTGCCAGGGGCACCTGGCATGCCCCCATCCCCCTTCTCCCCCTCAGTGCTGCTGGGTGCTGTGAAGGCTGCCTGCAGCTGCGTGCAGTCCCCGCACAGGGTCTGGCAGGAGGCAGGGGGGAGTCAGGGCTACCCCAAGGGAATTGGGGTCCCCTGGGCATGACCCACAGTGGGGAGGTGCCCCATCCCCACAGTCTCACCTTCAGCACCTCGATGTTCCTCTCGGCCATGACAGCCAGTGGCCCCTGGAAGAGACACACGAGGGAAGGGGACAGTCCCCGTGCCCAGGGGAGTAGGATGGGTGGCCATGGAGATGCTGCCACGGGCACAGCCACTACCCACCAGGTCTCCAGCTGGTCCGGGCAGGCCGGGTAAGCCGTTGTGTCCTGGCATCCCCTAAAGCCAAGGACAGAGATGGAATATGCAAACCCTGCACTAAAAGCTGGTCAGGATCAGTCCCAGGTCACCCATCTGCCACCGCTCACCTGGCGGCCTGGGGCGCCGGGGGGGCCGGGGGGGCCGGGAGCTCCAGGGGGACCCTGCAACACCCCAAAACACAAATAGAGGTGGGGAGTGAGGCAGTGGAGGGCAGGGGGCTGGTGGGTGCAGGGTGGAGGGGGCAGCACCCACCTGTGGGCCTGGCTGCCAGGACATCCCAGTCCACAGTCCT